TATATATTGCAAATTCTAAAAGCCTGAAGAAAACAAACCAACTTGATGCGGTTGTAGTAGGTGTCTCCTTATTTTTCAAAGCATATTTCATTCTCTCACAGTTAACAATGGAATATATTTTGAGAAAAGTGTTGTTAAGCATTTAATCTTTATGTGAACATTATAGAGCAAATGTTATAATTTGTCCCCTTAGATTCATACTGAAATTTAATCCTACTGTGAGGTACGAAGAGGGAAGGACCTTTGGAAGGAGATTAGGATTAGATAACATCATTAGGGTATAGCCCCCACTGATTAAATTTTGGTGGCTTTAAAAGAAGAGAGAGAGACCACAGGACATAGATACACATGGACCTGTACACCTTGTGTTGCCATGTGATATCCTGTATTTTCCCAGCAAACCAGCACCAAATAAGGCACCTTGAATTTGAACCTCCAGAACCATGAACCAAAACAAACCACTTTCTTTTATAAAGTAGCCTGCCTCAGGAATCTTATTATCATAACAAAAAATGAAAACTATTGTATGCTTTAGATGGTTATGATGTCACTAGTTTATATAACCTTAAGGAACCATGTGGTCCCTTCACTGACTATAATGTTACAATGTAATTCATGACTGTCTACACACACACACACAAAAAAAAAAAATCTATTGAATTTTAAGTGTTTTCACTTCACAGATGAATTTTTGCAATAGCAGAATTTCTAAAATAAATCTCGAGAACTGAGTGCTTCAAAATAAATGTGGTATATAAATAACTCCATGGTAACTTTTATTGTAGGGCAAGAAGGGAGTGTAGTGAAGGAGCAAAAGCAATGCAGGCAATGCAGGGGCTGGAGACCCTGAGTAAAGTGTTAACACAAAGCCAGAGCAGAAATGTGGAAAGAATGCCAGATCAGACAAGCCTCCAAATGGAGAATTAACTATGCCAAAAAAATGAAAACTCAATGTTTGTATTTATTATTAAAGAAATTCAAAAGAACATAAGTGTTCAAAGAATAAAAAGTTTGCAAATTAAAAAGCCATTGCTTAAATTTTTGCAAACCCATTTGTAGGTTTGTAATGAGGCAGACCTGGGTCTTAGCTCAGAGGCCATCACTTTGTTGATAACATTGTCTTGGACTGTCACCATCAAAACCTCTTTTCTTTTGCACTTGTTACTACAGTCCCAACCGGAATTTCCTCAACTCCAGCTCAGTTTTAGGCAGAACTGCAGTGTTCCCTTTCACTTCCTCTCCCAGTCTGGACAGCCTCAAAACGTAACTGGCAGTTGGGGTCTGGGATATCTGTGAGCTCCTCCTGATGTGGAGGACCATACCAGTTACTTCCATTACTTCCTCATACCCTTAGATATGGTCAAATGGCATGAAAACAGTGTCCCAAATTCATTCCAACCAATGCTTGTTTTCCCAGAGCTCCTAAATTCTTTGGATTAACTGGGCATGTTGAAAACAAATAATCATTCTGATTTCCATTTCAGTTGTTTTTATATATTTTAGATTTCCAGAGTGTCAACTGTGGACTAATACAACCAAAGAAGTGAAATAATGGCATTTGCTGTGGGCCAGGGTTTGTGATAAGCCATTCACTTGGGCTGGTTAAATTTTTATGAGAAAATTATATAAATATTTTAACATAATTAGCCTTAGACTGGGAATGTTATTTTAAGTATATAGTCAAATTATTATCCTTTAGCAAAAGTGCAAAGGTTTAAATCTCTATTCTCATAGACATTTTAATGTAATTAAAATGTAATCCGTGGGGATGAGGTTATAGCTCAGCAGTAGAGTGCTCACCTTGATCCTTGATCCTCAGCACTATATAAAAATAATTTAATTAATTAAAGATATTGTATCCAACTACAACTAAAAAATAAATATTTAAAAAACATAATTGGTAGGGGCTGGGGATGTGGCTCAAGCGGTAGCGTGCTCTCCTGGCATGCGTGTGGCCCGGGTTCGATCCTCAGCACCACATACAAACAAAGATGTTGTGTCCATTGAAAACTAAAAAAAATAAAAATATAAAAAAAATAATAAAAAAAATTGGTAAATATTTGCCTATTTTGGGGGGTTCACTTTTTGTTTGAGACCATCATAAAAACATTAATCAGGCCCTAATATTACTTATATATGCAGCAGGGATAAAGTAATAAACATACCACTACAGAATGTATACATCTGCACATTTTTAATATTTAAGGGGTAAATAATATAATTTCATAATTCAAATTTCATTCAACTTCTTTTAAAAATATTTTCTTAGTTTAATTCAAACATTTAATTTTGTTAACAAATAATCAGGTAAAATTTAAAAATCAGTAAGAGAAAGTAGATATGCATTACTATAATTAGGTGCAACAATTTTGTTTCTCTTCAGAACAGAGAGCAGTGTGCAGTATATGTAGTTCATTCTTAATAAACCTGTAAAATTCCAACACCAAAGTGATGAATTCTTTTAGCATATAAGATGATCACTTATTGAAGCTACAGTGATTCCTTGATGCCTATACTCGCCTGTGCATTAAATAAAGCCCATCATTTCTGTGTTGAATTCTTCCCCAACATTCACGGGCCTTTGGGGACAAAAGTATATACATCATTCTCAAAGGTGGATCTTCATATATTATTATACAGATGCTCCTTGACTTAGGATGAGGTTATGCCCCAATAAACTCACTGCAAGTTAAAAATACCACAAATTGAAAATGCACTGACTACACCAAATCTACCCAACATCCTAGCTTAGTAACACAGTATAGATTACCAGTTGTTTCCTATTATGATCGTGTGGTTGATTGTGAGTTGTGGGTTATGGCTGCTAATTAACATTTCAAGAAAGTATCATACTGCATATTGATAGGCCAGGAAAAGATCAAAATTAAAAATTTAAAGAATAGTTTCTATTGAATGTGTATTGTTTGCATACCATCATGAAGTTTAAAAAATCCTTGGTTGAACGATAGTAAGTCAGAGACCATCCGTACCTTAAAATTCTCATCAGTATTTTAGGGAACACCAATACGGATATAGTTCTGTTGTGGGCAGACTTTTAAGGTGCCTCCTAATCCCTTGGTTCATGAGCCTTATATATCCTTTTCACCTTGAGTGTGAGCAGGATCTTTGACTTGCTTCTAAGGAAGAAGTTATGGCACAGGTACAGGATGTCATGCTCTTGGTTATGGTGCATTACATAAGTCTCCCTTTCACTAGCAGGACTGCTCTAGAGTATGTCTCCTATACCACTTTGAAGAAGCAAGAAAACATGAATTTTACAACAATAAAGAACTGGATGCTTCCAATCATGACAGCAGAGGGGCAGATCCTTCCCTAGCTGAGTCTCCATATGAGAATGCAGCCCTGGCTGACGCTTGACTGCAGCTTTATAGAAGACCCAGTGAACTCATGCCTTGCCCCTGACACATAGAAACTGAGCCAGTGAACACATGTTGTACTAAATTGGTTACAACTCAAATAAAACTAATATGAAACCATAAGAAAAGACAGGTTTTTGCAAAAAAGATAATATACAGGGCATCTTTTCCAGTTTAAAAAAAGAACACAGTAAATTAGTAGTACCATGGCTAAATTTATATAGCCAATTGTCCTGTTTTGGATAAGCCATCTTATTAACACCTGTCAGGCACATGGCAGTTGATAAATGGAGAATGTAGCACCTTATTATAAATGGCTATTGAACACACATGGTGGCTCTCCAGGTGGTTATTAACGACAAAAGTATTGACTAGAACAATTTTCATAGACATGTGAATGTCTTGCTTTTCTAGTATGCAAATGTATCCTAATATAAAATAAACTTTAATTTTGGGTGCTCTAATGGAAACTAGAATCTTGACTAGAATGACAGATATAGTTCAGGAAATCTTCCGTTAACATAAATAAGCATCATTCTGAGGATATTTCAAACAGTAACAAGATGAGACAAGTAACTCGAGGAAGGGAGAGTTTTGCCTAAATCAGTTCAAAATCTAGAAAGGGGGCTGTAGAGCTTCAGTTTGAAATATGACTTTTGCCTTAATGAACAAAAAGAATGTTGGATGGTACCAAAGAATTGTGATAACTTTCAGGAAAAGAGGATCACAGGACTGTCAAGAAAAATTGACCTGATCACCCCATACTTGAGGGAATCAAATTTAGGATTATGTTTTGGTCAGATTCACTTGTAGTGTTAAAATAGTGTCTATATCTCAGCTAAGTTTAGTTAGAAAATACACATTTTTGTGAGATCATCAGGTAATCATTCCATTCTACAAAGACTATAATTACAAATTGCAAAGAAACAAATTATTGTATATCAAAATCCTCTACATATTTTGCTACCTATTAGTTTTCTTTCCCATAACTGAATTCAATAATAAAATTTCAGAACTGACACCAAACATTATTTTATCATTAAAATGTAAAAATCATTAGACCAAAAAGGTTATTTGTTTTTCTTTTTTTCCTCTAGGTATCTAATGCATTTTTAGCTACTTAGCTCTCATTCACAGGAAGATGGAAACCCTGCTCAGACCATCTGAGAAGCATTTCCTTTTTTACAAATGTCAGCTGGTGATCAATAAAAGGACAGGACAGATTTCTGCATAACACAAACGCCAGAGTCCAACTTTGACTTTTATAAATTTCCATGTCACATTTTTAAGAGAGTAGGACTATAGTTCAAATTGTTGTTTGCATTTAAAACCTAAAATCATTAGGCAAATAACATTTTAGTTTTAGAAGAACAGGTCAGAACAGTCAGAAAGGGCCACACAGTGATTAATGACTGCACTTAAGTCACTGCTACACAAACAGATCACGGAGGGGCCCTGAGCAGAGATTCCTGGCACCTTGGCTGAAGCTGGGGTGGGCGAGTTGGTAGTGGTGCATGCCCACTGCCCAGACCTTGAGGGCCAGGGCTGGGTTTTCACCTATGAGAGCTTTAGGCTTAGAAAGTAAGTCATATTGTTACAGTATAAGTAAACCACATCTACTGATCAGAAGAAGTACTCCTTCTGACTTTCACTGACAGTATTTTGCATGTTGAGTTCACTTTTCAGAGCAATCTCAGCATTGTCTCCAGCTTTTGAGATATCTGACTCATTCTTTTGATATAACCATCTCTGTTGATAAATGCGTATAGCTATGGCAGTTACGCAGAGCAAGATAAATATCACCACTGCTACCACACCTGGTGAGAGAAAAGAAAGAGAACATACAAAGTTAGAAGATAAACTATAAATTTCAACCTCGCCAGAATCTCTACTAGATGGTTTAAATCATATGTAATATCATATATATTAGTACCTATAATATATAATCTACATATGCATGTATGTATATGTGTATATACATACACATAATAAATTTTGAGGACAAATGGTATGATGACATTAAGTTTACATGGCAGATCTTAACATGCAGATCACGATTGGATTTCAGTTAATGACTTCACATAATAAGTGCACAAATACAACAGGACCTCTTAGGCCATGTCCCACTTCACATTAATACGCCAGGAAATTTTAATTATTTTAAAATAGAGTGCATAGCCTCATCATCACAGAGTAATTGTTTTTGTACAAATATTTTAATAAAAATTTACTTTGATACTGATATGCTGTTGAATTAGTTATATAATAAGCATGTCATTCATCTCTGTGAGGCTCTTAGCTCCTGACATCAGTTATGCCAGTGGTCCTCAAGTCTGTTTAGACAACATAGAACAAATGAGATCTATGGATATTCAGATTTTTACAAAAAGCTTGTCAGATGATTTTAATGTGCTGAAAGGATCGAGAACCATAAAGTTATACCATAGGAATGTTTACTGAAGCTATCCTATTAGTAAAGAATGAATATCAAGTCTATACTGAAATAAATATGTAAAAGGTCAGTTTTAAAGATGATTGGCACAGGTATTAATTAATACCGCCAATAAGCAAGTGTTATATAACAAGTGCTATGTAGGTGCCTGCCTAGTTATACAAAAATATTTGTACTATAAAATGAGGGTTCTTTTTCATACTCTGGGATAGACATCAGCAACTAAAATGAAGCCCAATAACTCAAAGCTTAATTAGGTATAACTAGTCAAAGGGATTCCTAAGCACAAGTCTGAGAGGAAGTAGTGTGCTCATTATTTGGTTTATATTCATAAATATTCATAACAACATTTTGTTCAATATACTTTGCATCCCTTTAGGAAATAAACAATCACACTGCTTTAGGTTCTTTTTTTTTTCTTAGTTATAGGACTTTGTTTTAAGGAGAAATATCATATACAATTGCAATGTTAAAGACTGGTAAATCTCAGAACAATGATGGGGCTACTTGATTATAATTCCATGACATTACAGGAACTCCTCAGTATACCTTGGCCTTTTTATATGTGATAACTCTTTAACTATGGCTTGGTTTATTACATTTAATGGGATCCTAAAATAACTTGTCTACACCCAAAGATTAAAATTATTTGAATAATCACTCAATGCATTTCATAAACTGCGTATTGCTGATAGTGTTTTTTTTTTTTTTTTTTTTTTCTTTTTGGCACAAGGGATTGAACTCAGGGGTACTCAAGCACTGAGCCACATATCCCCAGTCCTATTTTGTATTTTATTTAGAGACAAGGTTTCAACTGAGTTGCTTAGCCTTCACTGTTACGGAGGTGGCTTTGAACTGCCTAAACCTCCAGAGCCACTGGGATTACAGGTATGCACCACTGCGCCTGGCTTGTTAGTGTATTTTTTTGTGAGCTTCTCTCTGCCTGCCTCTCTATCTATACATCTGTCTCTTTATCGATCTAACTGCCTATCTACAGTAAATGTCCCTTGGTAAAGAAGCCCTCTGTGATCTCTGGTTTACCAGGTACAAATACTTTTTTTGCTTCATTCTTTCCTATACTGTTCCTTTTGTTTGCAAGAGGAGGAAAAGATAATTCAAAATGCAGAACATAGAGAAATCTATCCATGTCAATAATCCTTTATATGGATTAGGTATTTTTCATATAAGTCTAGTCTGTGTGTTCAGGTTAGTTCACTGGTGGTCAATGCACCCAGTGGTCTTCTAACCATCCAGCCATCAGCTACTGCCCAAACAAAAGGCAGTACAAGTACAAGTGAATTACAAAGCCTGATACACTCACCTTGTCAGGTCCCTGAGACCTGTGTTTTCTCCTTCTCCACTCATCTATGAGGAGCCAAGTAGGATTGCTCAAGGGAAGCACACTGGTATAACTTATTTACTTTGAAATTTTGCCAATGATATTTAGGCAAAAGCTCTAAAGATCCAAAGGCCTGGTATTTTGTGCTATCATCAGAATGAAAATTCACTTTGCTCTTTTAAATAAAAGGCACCAAGTTTGCAAGTATTTTGACTTGGATTCCTACTTTGAAAATATAGAACACATTTATTTTAAACTAGTTTGCATTAGAATGGATACTTTTCATTAAAATAAATTAGAAATGATTTGGGAGTAGTATTTAAATTCTAATATAAAGCATTTCTTTTAGATATAAATGATAAAAAAAACATGGGATTTTTTTTGTTCTTGGAATTGAAAATGGAGGTTATATTAAATAAGTTCCTCATACTTCAATCATTACAAAAATAAAAGTAGTTGAGATAGGGGTGGAAATGTTAATATCTTTACAGAGATTTTTAAAGTGTCTGAGTACTCTTCTAATTCTCTGACATCTAGATGAATACAGATAAACTACACAGACCCCATGTAAGCTGATGTGCAGCCCATATGAGCAATGGAGACCAAGTGGTGTCACCCAGCTCTCTGAGTTATGAACCTTATTTGACTAAGCAAAGGAATAGATTATAGTTTACTTCCTACTCACTAAGCAGAGTGTGCAATAGACTCACATTTCAATAGAATCCAAACAATTAAAATGGGATAGCTTGGTGGAATAGTACCTGCCTTCCATGTGCCAAGACCTGCCCATTCCCAACACTCCCCTTCCAACACACACACAAGAATTAAAAAAAAAATTCTTTGAACTGTAAGAAGGGAGAATTGCACATTCATTTTTTGAGTTAGAACTTAATAAATTCTGTGTTAGTCACTATGTTGTTTATACTGTCACTTCCTCAATTCTAAATAACCTTGGAACTCTTATTCCATTAGCCCCAAAACATTTAAAAATAAAATTAAAAGCAAAAATCACACTGCTTGAAGCACCTAAACAAATACAAATTGTTATTTTTCAAACATAAAAATATAAAACTATACTTCTTATTCCTTTCTTTGGTGTTATATAACAATTTGAAGGCTCAGTGGCAATTGCAAGGAGCCATAGAACCACTATTTTTAATATATATTATCTCCTGTATCAAATAACAGTGATAGTTATTTTCAAATAAAAACTTCTCACTATTCTATAATGTTTTAGCTATTCTTCAAAAAGTGTGCTTCAGTGGAACCATCAGTTCTTTTTACTGAGGAACTGAATTCAGTAAGTTACATGAAATATCAGGAAAATTTACAAGGCCTGCCATTGACCCCAGCAGTCTGAGCTGATTGCTATAGATGGTTTCTGGTTCATGCTAACAGCCGCATTACCTCCAATGACCGCAGAGTCACTTCTGTCTGCGTTAATTAAGGGCTCTCCCTCATCAGTTGGTCCAGAATAGCCTATAGTAGAAAAAGGGAGGACAGAGCGAAGAGAAGAGAGTAATTCACAAACACCGGAACAACAAACAATTGTGGGAGAAATGAACATGAAAGGAAGAACACAGGAGATGGAACGGCCAGATACCAAGTAGGTGAATCAACAAACAGGACTAAGTAAATCTGCGATATAGCAGTAGTGACACACAGAAAACAAGCACAAGGAGGTACCCACCTGAACCACCTGAGAGCCGGGGAGCGAGTTCCCGCGCTCTGGAGCCAGGCCCTGCGCCCACCGCGCAGCGGGATCCAGCGGCCACTTGACCATGAACAGTGACCCGGGCAGGTCCGACAAGGCGCAGCGCCGCCTTCAGCGGGGCTGCATGGCTAAAGCGCACCACAGACAGGCAGCCTGTGAAGCCGCGCGCTGCCGCCCGCCGCGTATCGGGGTCTGCGCCAGGGGGCTCTGCAGACAAAAGAAGTGCATACATCGTTAGGGCGCCCCGCACCTGCGAATCTCCCTTCCAACCCCTATCTTTTCGTCTTTAAGGAAATACACTGCGGCCATTACCAATGGCCTGAGTTGTTGACAAGCGGGGTGGTAACTTTGGTCCATTTTGCTAAAAGCTTCCCTAAAGGCAGCCACGGAGTAGATAAGGGCGAATTCCTCGGGCACTTCATTTTTTCAAATGATCATTACAATGCTTTTGGATGGAATTTGTACCTATTAGTACAATTGGGTAAAGCGAAATATCTCTTGGATTTTAGGACACTCTGGAAATTTCTCTAAAAAATTCCCTAGTCTGTATTCAACACCAGAGGCTGCTCCCCTTCACAATGTGGTCTCCATTCTGTCCCTGCCAGGACCCACCTGCCTTTAACCACAAGCAAGGAAGGTTGGTTTTAGCAAGATCTAAGAGCAATTGCGACGGAAGATGAAAACTTGAGGTTGCTAATTTCAGTGAATATACTCTGCCTTTCCACTTGCTCAGTGGGCATGGAATCTGACAAGGGGAGTAAGAGGTGAAGTTCAAAAATTTAAATGTCAAACAGAGAAGCATCCTCTACCCTGCAGAGGAAACCATGTCAATATGCTGTGAGTGCTTGATATCTGATGTCAAATTCCCTTTGCAAACTGGCTGTGGGGAAACTGCAGTTGATTCTCCTTATTCTAACAACCAATGAATGAATACATAGTTGTCAAGAATTTGCCAAATGATTTACCATAGGTTATCATTTTAATCTTTGCAGCATAAAACAATGAATACTTTTATTCCTATTTTATAACTGAAGAGGTGAAGGTTCAGAAGTTTGTAGCATAAGTTAGTAGGACATTAAGGTTACTGGGGGGGGGGGGTCTGAATTTTGGGCTCTTGTGTTCAACCCCTTTCTCAACAAGATATTCTTTTTTTCCCCCATTAGTATATTCTGTATATGTTCATAATTGCTCACATGGAGGGACTGGTAAATGGGGATCATTATACTATTTTTACTTTTATAAGTTCATATATTTTTCCATAGCACATATGTACATATTCAATAAATGCTTTTTGGTTGACTTAAGAACCAATCTTTAAGTTACCTCTGAGAATCTCTGTTCAGATCCATTCTGTCTTGATGTTGTAGTTAAACTCTCAAAGGACAATCCTTATTTCTTTTGAATTTGAGGATGCTTGAAATATGTTTTTATATTAGAGGAATATACAGTCCCATCACCATAAATTCATCTTTCTATGGATGCTTAGTAGCTACTGAAATAATTTTTATAATGTGGCACTCATGAGGATAGAAGAGCCATCTGTTCTAAAAGATTACATGCATTGGATCAAGATAAAAATGCACTTCCATAGCTGATTGCCATCTCATGCCACTGAGTTTTCTTGAGTGTTAAGGTTTTTTTTTTTTTGAGTGTTGGGGTACCTAAAGTCACCTCTGTTGTTGTGCTAATATGAAAGAAATGTGAAAATTATCCAACAGAATGGAGTTGCTTGTTCCAATCCTGGCAAAGAAAGAAAGGGAAGGAGGGAGGGAGGGAGAGAGGAAAGATTACAAAACAAGTGTTCTTAGTCATAAAGACTGTCTTGTAGGACTATCATTAAAGTCTCTGTCAGGCCACAAGCTTGCACAGGAGTATACAAAAAAACAAAGCAAACAAAAGAACTTCTGCAAGGATACCTACCCATCAAGTATCTGTTCAACCTCAGACTGATGCCACTGTTGTTATTAATCACTGTACCCAAAGATTATTGTTTCAAAATATCTGATGAAATCTTCAGTTTTGTCTTTAATGTATTTTCTTTCCCCAAGTTTCCTTGACTATACTCCTACGTTACTTTGATGGTGTATTCCCTTTGCAGTGCTTTGTTACTCTGATTGCAATGCTATTCCTAAAGAAATACCACTATTCTCTGAAGAATCTGTTTGTTGTTGTTAGATTGAAAGTAAGGTTAAGCTATGTACTCTGAATCTTCTACTCATAAGGTGGGGCTTCTTAAATCTAATTTTAGGTATTCCTTTTCATTCCTACTAATCTTCACTTCATTATTTTAGTCTGTCATTCTTGAAAATCCAATCTTTTGTATTCTTATTCCTTTTGACTTGAAAGAGAGTTGTCTCTTGAAAAAAGTGTGTTGTGAACTGTTCGGCTTACAAACTTAGGGAATGTTAAGTTGCAACAGTAAATGTTTGTGTGTAAAAAAAAACATCTAAAGCAATTAAAATTAGGGGCATGATGTTTATGATATTATAATAAACAAATTTTTCTTAAATATCTTGGTCAGGCTGATTATATGAGACATCAAAAAACTTTTGTGTGATAAATTCCTGGTAAATTTTAAGCATACTAGGAGAAAGTAAGCTTGGAACAAATCAACTCAAAGAATATTATAAATTTAGAGATGTCTTCCAAGATGACTTTATTTATCATTTTATAATTTGATAATGTATAATTTACAGAAAGAAATATTTGCTTGATATACTTGAAAGTGTGTCAAGAAGAAATAAAATGGGAAGATATTGCAACAGCAACATGGAACTTCTTTGGGAAAGCTAAATTATGGAAAAAACATTAAAATTCAATTTAAAATCCTAGCTATTAAGCAAAAAAAAAAAAAGAAAAAAGAAAGAAAGAAAGAAAGGAACATGGCAAATATTACGCTAATTAATGAATTATACTAATTCTGTGAAATTTATTTTCTAAAGACAACTGAGCTTCATCTTTGCTGATAGTGCTATTACTGAAGAAAGACACATAGGTACTACATTATAATTGCCTCTATTTCAAGAATCTCCACTTAATATTTGTACATATGTATGTATATTTGTGGGCATGAATGTGTGGGCTAGATTTATATGTACCCCAGTAGCCCAACTCTGAACATTATGTGTACATTAGGTATAAATTCACCTGGACAGGTTTGCTGCCTGCACTGGCTCCCTCATATTTTCCTATGGTAGGTTCATGATTTTGTCCAGTTTTAGACTGAATTAATTTCCCAGTATTTTGCTGAGATGGGATGCATGGTTAATATTTAATCTCAGTCCATCCTTGTTACCCTCAAAAAACATTTTTTAACCTTATCAGATAAATTATATAGTAGATGCTTGAGCTGTAGCCCATTTTTCTTGGTAGTATGACATTTTTACTTCATCTTTATTTTATTTTTTTATTTCACTACTACAATTAGATGTTGGCTTCTAATGACAAAATCATCATATTTCATTGTAGAAACTTCTGCCTAGAAAATTTGGAAGGTTTTTCTTTTTTGTTTTGCACTTCAGGAATTTTATCAGAATTTTTCCAAATTTATCTTTTTTCATTAGAACTGGTTTTTATTCTGTTTTTTTTTTTTTTTTCTTTAGCTTGGAGAAATTGCCTAGTTTAAAATATATTAATGCCTTTGTTTTAAATTCTCTTTCTAGATCTCCAATTATACAAGTGAGGTTTTTCTAGATTAGATTTCCATGTACTTTCTATTTTCCCTCTCTGTTAATCTTCTTGCTCTGTGATCTGAGACGTTATATCTAGGCCACTATTTAAGGATAATCAGTGATCATTATCTTCTTCAGATCACCCAGTGAAATTTTGTAAAATTTATTTAAATTTCCCATGTGTTTTTCTCTTTGCCTAAAATCTCCTTGAATTCCAATTTGCATCTTTGCTGTTTACTGTCTTCTTCAACAGTGTATTCTGGCATAGAAAATGTTATTTGCTGTTTATTCTTCCTCCTCCTCACCCACAACTTTGCTGTTCAATTCCATTAGGTATGCCATTACTTACTTTCTTATTTATTTGTCTGCTTACTTCCATGGTTGTGAATCTGATATGATATACAAGTCCTGACAATATGGAAGGTACAGTTTCTCTGATCCTGTCAAAAGAAGGGACCTGCCTACAGACTGTCTCTTATCCTTAGTTCCAGAGGCATGATGGAAATGGACACAATCAGGCTGAGCACTGTTGATGCTCCTTTGACATTTCCGAGTTTTCTGCAAGTTAAACTTTATATAGGACCCATAGTGTTTGTATTTCCTTGGTGCTGTGTTGTGTTCTCCACCAGCCCACTGCAAAGTGTTCACTACAGCTGTCATTTACATTCTTCTCCTGATCCTGCTGCTGGGCTAGCACATCAGCTCTTTACCCAGGAGCACAAGTATAATAATCTAAACTGCCATCATCCCAAAGTAGGTCAGCATCAGAGTGAATAGAACTGTATTTAGATAAAGAGTGTAAAATGTGTTTCCCCTATTAGCTAAGTCCTGAAATTTTATCATTAAGGATCTTTTGACTAAAAAAAATTCTTCTCATTAAAACATAAAGAAAGGAAAAGAAAAAGTTAGGAAGGAACTTTGGAGAATACCTAGTGTGTTATTTAGTCATTGACACAGCCTGGTGAAACATGCACTCAGCTGCTATCTTGAGAACATGGGTAGAACCATAGGAAATTGGGAGACAGATGCAGTTTCAGACTAGGTAAGAAGGGAACCAGGAATATGGTTCAAGTGGGCCATGAAAAAAGCAAAGTTTAGGAAAGGGTGGACTAAAGGGCTGAGCATAAAGTTCACTTCCACTTCAATTCTGAGAAGAATCTCTCAATCACTTTGAATACAGACTCATTTAATCTTCCTTTCTCTTAAAAATTTTCTCTGGTAGGAAGTGTTGAGAGTCCAGGCAAACTTCCAAGAATTCAGGACACAAATATTCTCCACTGTCTCAGGTGTTGAGTAGTTTTGTCTTCAAAATCTATCATGTAAGTTATATATTGCAATATGTAAGATGATTTCTGCTCTTGAAAAGGAAGAGACAAATAATTAAAAATGTGTACAAAAGGCTCTTTGCTACCCACAATGAATAATGAGTGCTTCTGAAAGGTTTGCTGTAGACAAGAGGTTTAACTGTAAAGTCAGTACAGGATATTAGCAGCCAATGACTAGAAGCAATGCAAGTGTGCATCATCATGAGAATGG